AGAGAGAGAGAGAGAGAGAGAGAGAGAGAGAGAGAGAGAGAGAGAGAGAGAGAGAGAGAGAGAGAGAGAGAATGTGCGCGTCTCGGTTTTGTGACGTCGCCTCCCGCTGCCCACTTCCCACCCCGACTTCCATCCTCATCCTGACCTCAGTCTTTTGATACCGACTTCCCTCTTCCCGACTTCTATCCCTCTCTCTCTTTCAACCACCCATGGCTACCTTGTGGCTCTCTCTCTCTCTCTCTCTCTGTCTCAACCGCCCATCGCCATCTCGTGAAGCTTGGCCATCTCACACGATTATTCGTTGGCGCACGGCGTGCCGGGGCAAGGGTGACAGTCCGACGGCAGAGTGTGGAGTGTGCACCGAATGATCAGAGGGAGGGAGAGAGAGAGACCGAATGATGAGACAGAGAGAGAGGGAGAGAGGACAAACAGAGGGCAGATAAGATGCTATTAACAGAGAGAGAGAGAGAGAGAGAGAGAGAGAGAGAGAGAGAGAGAGAGAGAGAGAGAGAGAGAGAGAGGACAACGCACCTCGATCAGTCATCGCCACTAACTTCGCTCTGCTCTGATTCACAATAAGCCGCGCGTCGCCCCGCTCTGATTCACAGTATGTCGCGCACGTGCAAACTGCATTTGCTTCCCGTTGCACACGATCCAGTCACACTTCCTCTTCCCGTCGACTGCGCGCTCTTCTTATACACACGTGCACAACAGCTCCCTCCTCCCTCTCCGCCCCGTCCACCCCGCCCGTCGGACATAGCCATGCATCGACGTCACGCCCATGCACACTGTCGGCACCACAATACACCGCGCATAGCCCCGCTCTGTCGCGCATAGCCCCGCTCTGTCGCGCACGTCCAAACTGCATTTGCTTCCCGTTGCACCTCTCCCCGTCACAGTCACGTTCTGCCTATCTGCGGCACTGCGCGCCCTTCTTATACGCACGTGCACAGCAGCTCCCTCCTCCCTCTCCGCCCCGTCCACTGCGTCCGTTGGACATGGCCATGTATCGACGTCACGTCCATGCACACTGTCGGCACCCGTCTCCCGTGCACCGCGAACTTCACGACGCCGCGCGAATTCCGCATGCATCTACATCAGGCCCATGCACACTGTCGGCACCCGTCTGCCGCGCACCGCGAACTTCACGACGACGCCGGTGCGCATGCCCCGCTTTCACGCGTTTTGAATTTCCCCCTTGCCCCTCCGCCCCTTCACTCTGTGTGTGCGCCTACCCCGGTTTGGGCCGCCTGCTCGGTTCCCACCCCTTCGCGTCTGCGCGCCCACCCGGCTTTGCCCCGCTTCGATTTTCCGCACCGCCCCTCCGCCCCTTCGCCTAGGCCTGCGCGCCTTCGAATTCCCGCTGCCCGGCTGCCACCTCTTCGCCTCGGCCTGCCGTCGCTTCGAATTTCCGCGCCGCCCTTCCGCCCCTTCGCTTAGGCCTGCGCGCCTTCGAATTCCCGCTTCCCGGTTGCCACCCCTTGGCCTCCGCCTGCCGTCGGCCTGCCCTCCCACCTCGGTTTTCTGTCCCACGCGATTTCTCCCGCTGCCCGGTTGCCACCCCTTCGCCTCCGCCTGCCGTCGACCCGCCCCCGCGTCGGCCTGCCCTCCCGGCTCGGTTTTCTGTCCCACGCGATTTCTGTTGGGACCGCGACCGACCGTGACTCTAGACCCTTTGCTTCCTTTAGTTGTATAGAGATAATCTATCATCTATTTGACTTTTCTATTCACTATTGATGATTTTGCATGGGTCCTGGGGACCATCTCACGCCAATGTGTACATGTCATGCATCATCCTCGCACACAATGATCAGCAGTCTCAAGTCATAGACAAAGGTAGATGAGAAGAGGACCGAGTTTCACAGCTTGTATTATCAAAAATATGATTACAAAGTGTTTCAAAGTTCCCCTGAGTCCAGCGCACATCAGCGCAACACACAGCTCTTGTCAACTCATCAATATGACTTCCATTGCATCAGCGCTACTCCTGCAGATCGTCTCCAAGTCATCAATGTGGTCACTACTCATCAGCGCCACCTCTGCAGCTCACAGCCAACTCAGGTAAGTATCTTCCATAGCCAAACCTTGAATGAACACTCTCTCTGCCTCAGTCCCTTCCTCCTATGATGCATTCACACTCTTCTCTCATGAGGATCTACTCTGAATACTACTCATAGCTATCTACCACTAACCCTCTACTACTAGTACTAACTCGCTGGGCAGCTATGGCTGCATCACTTCCAGCGTACAGGCTTCTTCCCTCACTCAGCGCATCTGCTTCCTCCAGCGCTGCTCCTACTGACTTAGCGCATAAGTGCTCCAGCACTTCCACGCCAGAACAGCCAGTGGAGATCTGGCGAGGAATGAGGCTGGCAGCTTCCTTTATAGTGCTGGCCACTCCTCGCTGGGTCTGCATTGGCTCAATTCAGCCTTTCCTTTGTCCCAGACCCTGCATTGCATGTGTCCCAGTATAGTCCCAATGAGGTTCAACTGCTGCTGAGGCCTCTCGGCCTAGATTTGGACTCGGAAGTCTGGATCTGGACTGTCCCCTTGACTCAGATCAGAACTGGGACTTTACCTATTGACTTTACTTTCGGACAGGCACAACTCTAGACGAACAGACATATTCACTGCCTGAACAGACACTTACCTTTGCACGAACAGGTACACTGTCTGCACGTACAGACACACCCTCACCCGAACAGACATGACATGCACATCCTTTGGCGAACAGGTAAGTGCTTTGACAATGCTTTTTGCTTTAGATTTAGATGTGCCCATTGATAGAGAACTTGACCTTTGACCTGCTTTCAAGTTTCTGAGCGCTGGCGAGACACCCTTTCACGTTGCTTTACTTTTACAAGGCCTGAGGCCTACATCAGGTAAAGGCCCTTTTAATAGAGATAATCTATCATCTATTTGACTTTTCTGTTCACTATTGATGAATTTGATCAATGTGCAAGGAAGATGAGCGATAGCGAACTTCAGAAATCAAACAGCATCATACACATGAGACCAGATAGTCGTGACCTCGAACCAACAGCAGAATTGCATCACGAGTTTCACCAAATAAGAACACACCAAGAGCTCATAATTGACAATGCTGGAATAGTCTCATCATCATCATCAACGAAGAACCAATGTTGATATCCTATCTGGCGCTTGGCGCCCAGACTACAGATGGCAGATCCTATCTAGCCTATTCTACAATGCCGCCGGATGACGTCAACAGCTTCACCGAAGTACGAGCAGATCTCGGACAATGCTGTCGCTTCTAGCACCAGGTATGTCTCTCGTATCACTCACAACCTCGTTCCCCAACTCACAGATGCCACTTGCACCCAAGGACCACCCTGCGCCCTATCCAGCTTACAGCAGCGCTTCTCGGCTATGGCTGCCTGCTCCTTCCAGCTTGCCCGTGAGCGCGTGAGCCTGGCAGGCGATAGCGCAGCAGCGCTTGCGCACAAAGCAGCCAGCGCCCGAATTCCCCAGCGTGGGCTGGCCCTTTCCTATATGGAGAATGGCCAGCCTGCGTGCGTGCAGCCTGGCTGTGCTGGGCCTCTGCCCAGAAGCTTCCGGTAGGCCCAAGGAGGCTGAGCCTCAGAACAAACGAAATGGCCCAGGGCCACCGACAGTTACCTGTGCCGAACTGCCCACAGCCTCAGTTGGGCCTATGCTGCTAATCTCGCCCGGGGCCTGACGCAGATGCATTTGATAAAAGGAACCAGGGCCTGAGCGCTTCCAACCAACTGGCGCTGGGCAACTGCCTGAATTTTCCCCAGTTGCGAAGTAGTCCAAAATAGGCCTCTTAAGGTCCGTCGGGCCTGCCTTCACTTAGGGCGGCCGACGCTGTTGCGAATAGGGGCCCAGTAGGGCTTATCGAGGCCTTGTGCCTCGCAAATGATTAAAAAGTATGAATTAAGCAATTCAATTAGAATAATATTATTAGTATACCATCAATATATTCTAAATTATTCTTTTTCCCTGAATGAAAATGGTGAATAAAAAAGAAGAGATAGATCTCACGTGCTACAATGGCCGGGACAAAGAGTTGCAACCCTGCAAAGGCGAGCTAACCTCGAAAACCCAGTACCAGTTCGGATTGCAGCCTGCAACTCGCCTGCATCAAGGCAGAATCGCTAGTAATCGCCAGTCAGCCATACGGCAGTGAATCCGTTCCCGGGCCTTGTACACATGGCCCGTCACACTATGGGAGCTGACCATGCCCAAAGTCGTTACTCTAACCTTCAATTACTTGAGGAGAGGGGTGCCAAAAGCAGGGCTAGTGACTGAAGTCGTAACAAGGTAGCCGTACTGGAAGGTGCGGCTGGACCACCTCCTTTTAAGGGAGAATGAGTTACTGCTGTAGATTGACAGTTTTTTCTAGATCATACGAAACTGATTTAGGCCCTTATATCCTACTGAAATTCAGAATTAAGAATCGAAGTCAGTATTTCTCAAAATCATAATTCAGAACAAATAAGGTGAGGGGGCTAATCTCTAAAAAATGGTGGGCTATTAGCTCAGCTTGTAGAGCGCGCCCCTGAGAATTGCGTCGTTGTGATTAGACTGTACAGGCCTTCCCTTAATTTGTTGAATATAATATGAATATAATACATACTTTTATTAATTTGTGGAATACAATGTAATGTAATTATATAGTATTTTATATAAATAGATTCTTTATATAATTTTATATAAGATTTTCTATAATTGTTCAAAAGATGATGGGTTTGAAACCTGATGGATACCGTAATGCAAAGGACTGTCATCCTCTTTTGAGAAGATAGGTGATCTACATGTTCTCTGCCTGTGTGGTTTCCAGATTCTAAAACGTCCTTTCTCATTTTTCCGTTCTGAAAGAGATTTTGTGATTGCAGCTCTGTTCTATTTTAGAGTATATTAACTAGGCTTATCTTCCATCAGTACATGTCAACCTTTAGTGAGTGTGTTGCCATCCCTGTCAGGAAGCAGGTTTATTTGTGTTTCCTTGTGATGGGGGTTATGAAAGTGATGAAAGTGACTTGTTAGCTACAATGTCATATTAGAACCAGGTGTAACTCGTATCACCAGCAGGGTCAACTGCAATTATCTACCTGGTCTTCGTTTTTCTATATTCGGGAACGACTTGCCCTTGTGCTGATGCCCTTCGTTTCACTGACCAGCACTATTCTATTCTTGTAGCAGTTTACTCCCGTCATTACTCCAGCCGGTTTCTTCCCGTCGGCGTGCTGATCGCCTGTCAACTTAAGTACTCACCTTTTGAAGGGAGAACCACCTACCCCTGAGGCTGTGCAGTTAAGATTATCCTCTGAAATTCAGCTCATATCCTGAGCATCCTTGTACAATCACACATTATGAGCATATAAAATTTGTTCCTTCCACCCTCGCCGGGGCTGAACTTTAGTATTGCACTGTCTAACACACTGTATTGTATTCTGCAACTTTCTGTTCTCATTTTAATTATGATGTTCACTGGCTCTCAACTCTGTTTATATGGGGTGTCCTTAAGAGAGGCCTTAACAGTGAGTAAAGGGACGATGCTGTAATTGCTTAATACATGGGGCAGGGACGGAGAGGCGAGCAATCAATGCCACGGTCTCAGGATCCCTTGGCCATAACGGAGGGAAGAGTGGCTGGTGTTATGCGATGCTGTTTGTATGGGGTATCCTTAAGAGAGGCCGTAACAGTCAATACAGGGAAGACACTGTAATTGCTTAAGATATGGGGTAGGAGTAAAGCGGTGGGAAATCCTTTGGATTCAGGAAGCAATCAATACAACGGTCTCAGGATCCCTTGGACATAACGGAGGGAAGCATGGCTGGTGTTATGCGATGATGAACCCAATACTCTTTCAAAGTGGTACATTCAAGTTTTGTATAGTTTCTTGTTGCAGCAACTGTAATAAAATTCTTTGTTTATAAAAGAAAGGGAAGAAAGAGATGCTCAAGGAGTTTGTATCCTGTGTCCAATTGTGCTGTTTTCATGGCGCATGTGCAGTATCTCGAGGGACAGGTTCCGAAGCCACCTGTGGATGATGTTGTCAACTTTTACCTTACGGCTCGGCAGGAAGCTGAGGTATGGCCACACCTCAAATATCACGCATTAGCAGCAAAAGGTTTGGTCATCTTTGTGCAGTAAGCTGGAACTTATGAAATAGCCATGGTACATGACGAATGGCTTCAGAAAGTCGCGCCAACACCAAATCCCCACCACTACAGAAATTCCTGATGTCATAACATGAGGATCTAGGCCAGGCTCTCGACGACAGCCCGGATCCACACACACTTGACCACAATTAAAGACCAGCCCTGCACCTGTGTGTCTCTAAGTCTCTGACAGCCCAAATGCATGTGCAGTAAGATTCAGGCGAATGGCCAGAGTGGTTCAATCTACAATTGGTTCTAGAAGTTTTTCTCCGAAATTGAGGCCCTGTCCAATCATTGTTTTGTTCAGTAGCGCTAGCTTAATTCAAATTTTGTCACTTTCTAGTACCCATCAGCGCCACCTTTCGGGGTTTCCTTAGGGACCGATTCACTCTGCGTAGATTGACTGAACGCAGAAACCCTTGAACTTTTTGCGATCATGTTTTTCACCTGATTTTTTGTGACTCATGTCAGCATCAGGTGTGACTCATGTCAGCATTCTCACTTCTGATATCTCCAGCTGCAGGGTGCCGCCACCACGAGAGAGAGAGAGAGAGAGAGAGAGAGAGAGAGAGAGAGAGAGAGGGAGAGAGAGAGGATCTCCACGATATCTTCCTGCCACACCTCCAGCCATCTCCCCTCCCCCTTCCCCATGTCACCCGATTTTAAAGAACATTTCTTTGGTTGGCGAAGCTGTAGCAGGTGATCTACAAGGAGGATTAAGAGGAGAGCGCCTGGTGTGCAGTGAAAAGTATGGGAGGGAAGAAGAGAACAGACCGCAAATGATAGGACAAATTGCCATTGGACCATTGATTACCGTTTCTGTGCGTTTTTCTTATTTACTATTGCATTCTTCCACGGTATAAGCCGCAATAGTTCATCCAGTAGCTTATGAAAAGGGTAGATTCATTTTTAACACACTTCCGGTCAGCCAAGTTTTTAAGGACTGTGCAAGACTCGAAGCTCGGAGTGAGAAAACACATCAGCCACACAACAGGCCCAGCAAACGACCATGAAACTTGATCCCCAATTACATCAGCTACAGGATGCAAACTTCAAACTTGAAAGTATTGTGCTGAATTGGTGAGTAAGATTGTGTAGCAAAGAAACAGCATCAGCTGCTTCAGGAGGTGCAGAATATATACCAAGAGGGTGGAGTGATTAAAATTCACCAATAACTCGCAATCGAACAAGTGTGAAACAGCATCAGCTGCTTCAGGAGGTGCAGAATATGTACCAAGAGGGTGGAGGGACTAAATTCACCAATAACTCACAATAGAATAGGTGTGAGTATGCTGGGAACAGAGGTTTTGTTTCGAAATAAGCTAAAGCGGCATGATGTGTGCAGGTTGCAGCGGTTTTGTTCCG